GGAATTTGTGAAACTCTGCTTAAATAGGGTTATCAACTCTCACAAAGAGAAATCCGTATTTAAAAAGCTGATCCGTTACCTAATGCACTCATGAATACCCATGCCAAGAGCTTGAAAATGGAAAGGAAGTACGGAAGATTAGGAATAAAAAGGATTTGTACAGGTTATTTTATGTAGTCTCCGCCACAGGCCAGTACTGCGCCATTTTATAGGGACCTACAGAACACAGTAACGAGTCAGGGTTTATTCAGGCAAAGTGTGAGGGATCAAAGGTTGGAATTAGAGTCTATGTGCTGGGGAAAAGCTGGTCATACATAGATGAAGCAGACAGGGCTCAGTGATCTCTGGAGTCCCGCTGCTGGATGACTGTGGCCTTCAGACAGTGGTCTGTGCCTCAGATCCCTGGCAAAGCCCAGAACTTGAAGCCAAATGCAAGTGTAATTTTTTTTTATGGAGCAATAATATTTATTTTGTCCACTCAGGTAACTCAACAGTAGAGTTGAGTTTATTTACTAGCTTTTGTCTGTATCCTGTGTCAGTACCGATGTGCCGTAGAGCTCACAGGGCACTAAGACTGGGTAGGGCTCAATCGAGATTAAAAGGAAGCAGTGATGTTGAAATAAAATAGGTGTTATTCAACAATCGAGGCCCAGGTAAAGATCATGAAATATACCGGTCTCTGTCACTCGGGAAGGTTTGATAATCTTCAACCACCACCCAAAACAAGGTTTAGAGCTGTTCACCACTCTGTAAAGTTCCCTTGTGATCCTTAGTGATCAATACCCATCCCTAAGAAGGAACACTACAGTTCTGAGAACCCAGCTACTTCTGAGAGGCAAAAGGCAAATGGCATCTGGATATCAAGATCCTTTGGCAGAACGAAGGATGGGTTATCTGAATGTGTTTCTTCTCCCATGAAGCTTATAAATCCTTAAAAACAAGCTTGGGTTCTTTTCACACTAGCCATACAGCAAGCATGCTTCCTTCTTCATCTTTACTTACATGAGAAGATACTCCTAACCAGGTGTGGTGGCGCACGACTTTAATCCCAGCACTTGCGAGGCAGAGGCAGGCAGATATCTGGGAGTTGGAGGCCAGCCTGGTCTGCAGAACTAGTGCCAGGCTCCAAAACTACACCAAGAAACCCTATCTCAAAAAAAACAGAAAACAAACAAACAAATAAAGATACTCCTAGATCATCTGAATTCATTCACTCACTTATATATTCATTCATTCAACAAAAATCTGTTATCACCTAAGTATAGGTGCTGGTTTTAAGCAAGACCCACATAGCTACATCCTTTTGGGGCCTGCAGTCTTTGCTGGGGAGACAAGCCCCTGCCATTTCTAAGACACAGGATTAACAGAGCTCTGTTGGCTGGATCGAGGACCTGACTTGGGGCTCAAAGCCACAGCTCACTACTCCCCCCATTATTTATTCACAACCTACTACATGCCAAGGCACAGTTCAATACAGCAAGAATAGAAGAAGAAACTTCAAGAGGTTTCACTTCCAGGAATTATTGATCTCTGGCAAATTGTTGCTCCTTAAAAAAATAAAATAAAATAAAACCCTGTCTGCTTTCTCCAGGACCTCTGGACAAGGAAGCACTCACATACCTTTTCCATCAAATCCACAGTTCCACATCTTTTTAAGCTGCTTTGATGGGAGCTGTTGGGCAGCTCTTAGACGGGAAAGGAAGTAGCTCTGCCAGGCAAAGGTGGAAGACTGCTTCCCCGCAGAATTTCTGGCACTTCTCGGTGCTTTAGTCAGGGTGCCGTTCGCAGAGCATTTCAAAGACAAACTACATGCTTCGGCTGGTTTGCCAGCCCTTTGAAAACAGACTAACCAGAGTCCCGAGCTCATAAAATCAGCACCTACCCTTCCCGAGACACAATCACAGTCTCCACTCTTCCTTAAGGTTAAGGGCTATAGCTTCGAGACAACAAAAGTTTCAGGTGTGGATGAGCGCTCGATACCATGAGACAGGACAGAGCTGAAATCGACTCCTCTTTGGCCGAAACTTTCCCATTAGTGTATCAGAAACAGCAGAGGCTCTGATTGCAGAGCGAATAAATAGGGCATAATGGGTTTTCAATAAATGCTGTGAGCCAGGCTCCAGATCTGTTTGGAGAGGCTTATTTGTCACGTAGAGCCTGCTGGGGGAATTGGAGACAGACCAGTAATGGGAGCTGAAGTTCACAAAATGAGACAGTGTCTGCAGGGGTGGGGTGAGGGTAGACACGTATGCAAACTGTGTCTGCAGGGGTGAGGTGAGGGTAGACACATATGCAAACTGTGTCTGCAGGGGTGGAGTGAGGGTTGCAACCTGTGTCTGCAGGGGTGAGGTTGGGATTTACATGTATGCAAACTGTGTCTGCAGGGGTGAGGTTGGGGTTCACATGTATGCAAACTGTGTCTGCAGGGGTGGGGTGGGGATTAACATGTATGCAAACTGCAAAGACGTGACTTCTGACTGGAGTGCTCCAGTGCTGAAAGCCACCTTCCACTTCAACCTGGAGTCTGCAGATTTTCCAAACAGTCTTCATCTGAAAGGGAGACAGAGCTTATGAAGCTTTTTGACTTCTGTTTTGTTTTATTTTAGTTTAGGTGTGGGTAAAAATAAGCTTGAAGCTGAGTGTAGTAAAGGGTCTTAAATCACAGAGCTGATTAAACCAGAACTGAAGACTGAGCTCTCCATTTCCAGACCTCTGTGTGTGTGTGTGTGTGTGTGTGTGTGTGTGTACGTGCGTGTGCGTGTGCGTGTGTGTGTGCATGTGTGTGTGTGTTTTATGTTTGGTTTTGGGGAGGGGTTGTTGTTGTTTTGGGGATTTTTTGTTTGTTTGTTTCTCGGTATAGCTCCAACTGTCCTGGAACTCACTCTGAAGATGAAGCTGGCCTCAAATTCACAGAGATCCACCTGTCTCTGCCTGACAAATGCTGGGATTAAAGGTATGTGCCACCACCACCTGGCTGGCCTGTATGTTTCTAACCCACATAAAATGCCGCTGTGAAGAAGGCATTTGACATGGAGGAATAAAACAAGATATTTTGTTCTAACAGACCTGTTGGCTGAGGTTTCCGTCCCACCAGTACCACAGCTGTTCAGTCTCAAAGAATCGCACAGAGGTCTACATTGATTATAAACTGATTGGCCTATTATCAGGCTTCTTATTAACTCTTATAACATATTAGCTGGTCCCTCAGAAGGGAACCCAGAGTCGTCTATCTCCAAACTGGGATCCTCAGAAGTCAAACCAGTTATGTCAACAATACATCTAGCACTGATAAAATAAAATAAGAAATCAATCCTTGGCATATTGAAATCGGAAAGAATGAGACATAATTTATGAAATCAAGCCAGAATTGTAGAAAGCCCATCAGTGGTTTCAATTTACTTTTCTGCTTCCTCTGCTTCCACCAGCTGTCTAGAGCAAACTCACTAATAATTCAGAAAAATGTTAACACCGGAGCAGGTCCCTGAGGCTCTCATTGTCTTGGTTTTTAGTTGCTTGTTCAGTGAAGGGTTGAGAACTTGGTGTCTCCTCTGCAGAGAGTTCTGACTTCTCCAGGCTGGAGTTCCTGAAGCCACTTCTCACCGTGATCTAAGGAGGTTCTACACCTCTATCTCCTGTTTCTGGGACCTGCCCTTCACAACAACCTGCTTGCAACAAAGTAGCCAGCCTTTGCTCTGAAGTAGGAAGTATGAACAGAAACAGTAACACCCAGAGAACAAGCAGTAACCCCCTCCCAAACAAGCTCCCTAACTTAGTGTGCTTCCCAGCTGTAAACTTAGAGAGGCAGAAGAATCCGGCCGCCACGTGTGAATTTGCATTTGAATTCTCCCTGCCGGGAAGGTTCAGCAAACCAATTAACTAATTAAACCAATTAACGAAATGCGTAATTAACCTTGAAAACAGAAGTGTCAACAAGCACAACAAAGAAGTTACTCTCCCCTGGGAACTGCCTGAAGGTTTCGAGCCTTCCTGGTGTTCTGTCTTAAAGGGGTACTTTCTCAGTTTATTTCTGGAGAGTAAATACACAGGCGCTTTGAAGAGCATGAACCCAAACACGGGCTGTTTCACAGGTGAATGTATACAAGTCCTTATCAGGTGAGTGAGAACAGGAATTTCAAAGCAAGACTCCAGCGTGGAGAGTGGAGATAGTCAACACCTGGTAATCCAAACAATTGAATGGGTTGGGGGTTGGGGAGAAGGCCACTAAAAACAGTTATTGGAAGGCCATTGTTTGAACTCACCTCCTACTTGGCGGCTCCAACAGCTGAGGCCAACCCATGTGAAAGTTCCCTCTATTAACTGACATGCTATAAAGCTGGATTCTGAAACAGGCCAGCTTTCAGACCCAAGAAACTCATAGCAAGTGCCCTGATTTCCTGATCTGCCGGACAAGGAACTCCCTCTGCTTTAGTCAACGTAAAATACCTGAAACGGGGACTGGCTGCTTGTGTCTGGATTCTGCTGCCTTCGGCCCTTCGCTGCCTGCTCCCAGCTCTTGGGAACACAGTCAGCCTGGTAGAATGAAGTCTTGCCCACTTTTAGGATTGCAAGCAAAAGCCAACTGGATATTGAAACTGAAGTCGCTGTCCTTTCGTTCTTTGGCACAATGAAATCTTGTGACCTTAGGCATTCTGCTGCTGGTGGTGACCCTTCCTTGCCAAAAACAACCCGTGAACACCTTGCCTGTGTATTCTGAAACATTTTGGTTCTCTGGCTGCTCAGGAAATGTTACTTAGAAAAATTGGTCTAGGGCTGGCAGAAGGTGGAGAGGGTAAAGGTGTTCATGACCAAGTCTGAGAACCTGTTCAGTCCTCACAATCCACACAGCGAAAGAAAGGATGGATCCCTGTAAGCTGTCCTCTGACCCTCCCACACACATTTCCACACACACTGTTTTGAATGAGCAATGTATTTTTTTAAAAATCAGGAAACAATAGTTGTCTCAGAAAAAAAAAATCAACAGGGCTGGAAATGTAGCTCACCAGTAGAGTTCTTGTCCAGCAGGTATAAGGCTCATGGTTCAAGCCTGAGTACTGAAAAATAAATAAGCAAGTTAATTTACCAATCAATCGACAATGAGCTAGTAGATAAATAACACATTTAAGTTAATAGATAATAGATACATAACACATACAAATAGATAACACAGACGAGAACTGAACAGCCATTTACTAAGGTAGCTTGAAGTAGAAACCCATTTCAGAAAACAAGCAAAATCTCCAAGGAGAGACACACACAGAGCATCCAAGAGAACTGGAAGCTAACCATCAGGAAATGTGGAGCGTGAAATATGTACATGTAAATATGTATGAGAAGCCTCATACTGGATTTTCTTCTTCCTCTTCTACAATAGACACTGCTTTTCGCATTGACCTTGGAAGAGATCAAAGCTAAGTCAGCATAGGATTTGATTTCTAATCCTTGAGTAAAAAGATACACTGTGAACTATAGCACCCAGCCAAGCTCACAGATTCTCCCCATAGACGGGGCCCTGAAATGCAATGTGTATCTAACTCCAAGGCTTGAAGAATCAAATTTCAACTGCTCATACGCCACAAGCTCCACTGCCACTCAGGGCAGAACAAGTGCCCGGTGGTATCTGAGCTCACCTCAGGGCCTCAGCTTCTTCATCTAGATGATGAAGAGACCTTAGAATTAAAAATCTCTACGGTCCCTCTGATGATCCTCACAGCCGCCTTCCTGTGGTACAGGCGGCTAGAGTTCTGACAGGAAACACTCCCATGACTGCTATTTTTTATCAATTAGCATAATGAGACTTCAGTATGAGAAGCTTTTCTTGGGAAAAAGGACAATATTCTCTTTGGCCAGTCTTATTGAAACTCTAGTCAGGGAATGTATCAAAAAGGAAGAAAAAGAGGAAAAAAACAAAGAAAGAAAAGAAATGAAGGAAGGAGGAAGAGAGGGAGGGAGGGAGGAAGGAGGAAGAGAGGGACTGAGGAAAGAAAGAGAGAAGAGAGAGAGAGAGAGAGAGAGAGAGAGAGAGAGAGAACACGGAACGAAGGAACCAAGGAAGGAAGGAAAAGCAAGCACCATCCCAGACCCGGGGTGTGAACCCAAGAAAGTCAGACCCCAGCGTCTCTGGGGAATCTAGAGCTACACAGTTGATGGTCAAGCAAAGAGTAAGGAATGTGATTTTTTTAAAAATCATCCTAGACCACAGAAACTCAGGTTCAATTTTCTTTAAATTGTGTAATTGACAGTGACAAACTTCTAGAGAAACCTGTCCCCACCATACAAATTAAGAAATTAAACTTCTAGAAAGACGTGTGGATCATCTTGGTGGGACTATAAACAAGCAAATGAGGACCGGTGACCCTTGCACGCACCTTTGTTTTGCCCTGCTGCATTCCCCAACGGGGCTGTCCTCCTCAGCCCAGCCCAAGATGTCTAGGGGTTGCACCAATCCCACTCAGGGTTTCTCCCTACAAATCAACCTTGTTCTGCATCTATGCAAAGTCAGGATGTAGTGTCCCAAAAACATGAGAGGTCAACAACTGTGATATCTGATACACCTTTAGTATTAAATATAAGATATAAACATTAAATATCAATGACAATGACGCTAATATTAAATGTAAGATATTAATGTTAAATGTTGTTTTAATTTCCCAATTGCATTTGATAAATTCTGAGGCAATTTGCTAATAGGTGAAAAGTTAATCCAAGAAAAATAGTTTTCAAATGTATAAAACCTATTTATTTCCATTGGTGAGATGGAAGCCTGACAGCTTGAATTCCATCCTCTGAAGCAAAGTGCAGTAGGTCATTCATCTGTAATCCCAGTACCCTCTGAGGGGAAATGGGGATCAGACACAGAAGAGTCAGCCAGAAGCTAGCCCAGGGTACCAATTGTAGCAGCATAAACAAGAGATGCCCAGCCTTAACAAGGTAGAAGACAGGAACTAATCCCATCCCTCAAAGCTGGTCTCTGATATCCACACACACGGTAGCATGTGTTCATTCACATCAAGCATGCATGCATACATACACACGTACAGAAAATGCAACCCACATAAAGGCCATTGCACATTTAAATGCAGTGTTGCCTGCTTACATTAGTACCCTAAACCAAGACTTTTCCGACACAGGTGTCCACCCATGTTTAGGAAATACAAGCAGAACTAGGATGAAGAAGCCGTTCATGGTTGCCAACTTGAGAGATATTGTCAGACACATGATGTAAAGATAATTATTTAGATAATTAGTACAAACATTCGCAATAGTACAACAAGAATATTGACTTTCTATGTTCTATGACTTGCTTCTTCTAAGCCATGAACAACTAGAATACAGAAATATTACGGGGTATACTTTTTTGACTGGCACTTAGAAGAGAAGAAGCAAACACTAATTTTCAGGTTATTGAGCACTCGAGACATCAGCTGCAGGCTTAGGCTGGACTTTGGATGTTTGCTGCTGGAAAAGTAAAAAGCAGGGGTAGCTTTAAAGATATCACTTGGTTTGAATCTTACAGACTTCAAAAGGCCAAGTGATTTGTTTATGGAAGTCATTAGAAGAAACACAGGAAGAAAACTAGAAATGAAATGTTTAAAGCCAATCATCAGTGAGGAGTCACTGGGCTGAGGTCTCTTTTCTAAAACTTTGGTGATACAGAGATCAAAGGGCTTCATCAGGGAAGCCAAGAAACCTAGGGAAATTCCCAGAATTCCTCAGGGCTAATGCTGAGCTAGCCAGATGAGGAAGCGGACTTCCTTCCTGCCTGTCCTGGCAACATCCTTAACCTTTGTCCTTTGCTCTTCCGAGCTTACTGCTGGGTTCCCCTCCTTTAACCCAGTCACCTTCTCACATCGCTCCAGAGTGAACGGAATCATCTGCATCGTATAGATGGCCAGTCCATACACTAGCGTGCTAGCATTCGGTTATCATTCCTGCTAGAAGGGCAAGAGCTGTGATTTACTTATCCCCTTCCCACAAAACAAATCCTCTCTAAAAATGGGAGTTATAGAGATTTCCTTTTAGATGCTAGAGACAGAGAAAGGGATTAAAATTAAAGGAGCATATGTTGAAACTGGAGTGATAGCTCAGAGCTTGCAAGCCCAAAGACCTGAGTTAATCCCAGCACCCAGGTAAAAAACTGTGGATGGTGTCCCACACATAATTCCCGTACTAAGAAGGAAGAGATGGTAGATCTCAGAAGATCTCAGAAGCTTAGTCAATGGTAGAGCTCCAGGTTCCAGAGAAAGACCCTGTGCCCCAAAACAAGGTAGATACCTCCTGAGGAACAACACTGGCTTCCACTTGCATAGGAATACATATGCAATGTACATGCATATCCACACATACATGTGCCTAAATGTGGGCGCACACAAAGAATATATTAAGATATTCAACGTGCTGGAGCCATTGTAGTTTAGAATGCACAAGTTGCGGTGAGCAAATATTTTTTATTCTACTTTATATGAAGCCTCTTCCTGGATGCTGGTTTCCTATTGTCAAAGAACCATAAGGAGAAAGCTATCTACAGACAGTATCAGTGTGTATTTAAACGTTCATGATAGTGATTCCTATGACAAAACACACACTCATAAGTGTTAGAGTATCTCATAGCTTAAGTTTGTTCCTGTGTCTTTCAGGAGGGATCTAACATCTACAACAAAAAATACATTGCACATGTTAATGGGCGTTAAACAGTTTATTTGAAAATCCCTCTTTTGGTTCAAGGGATTTAGGAGCAAGCATAAGTAACAACACTGCTAAACAAAGCTTGAAATAAAGTCTCCTCCTTGTAATTACTTTTAAATGGACCATTTCATTTCTGAATACAAGGATCACAGCACACCTTCTGTTCAGGAAAAGAAAAAACATACGTGGTTAAAAACCCTACAGGAATCTCCATTAAGTCTGCTATGTGACTTAATTCATGGTAGCGACTTAGCTGTGTGTCTGTTCTTTGCTTCTGATAGGCTGTTTTCATGAACTCATCAACTTCATAAATAAAGTCTATGCCTCTAGAACAGAATGAAATATAGCATGTAGTGAAAGCAATACTCCCAAGCAACACTGGGGCCATAAGCACCTCTCCCAGCAAGTCAAATTTTTTGAGAAATGCTCACTTGGTTTCTTTTTCCTTAATTAAAAAAAAATCATCTGGGCTGAGACTGTGGCTCAGTATAGACCTTGCTTAATAGGAGCAAGGCAAGCCCTGGTTCCAACATCTAAAACTGAGAGAATAAAAAAAGAATTATACCCTGCTAGTTTACTGGCTAAGGGAAAAATTTTTAGTCAAAACATAAACTTCCTAGGAAAGCTAACAAAGATGTCTCACAGTTGAAACAACATACAATATGCACAAGCAGCTTCCTTCAATAAAATATATCCTCAGTGTGTTCTGTTGGGAACTGGAAGACAGTCATTTCACATAGACTATAATGGCTTCTCCATGGACAGCATATTAAGATTCTTTCCTAAATAATAAGCAAAAATGATCGACAGTCTCCCAAGTGTTAACTCTAAAATAAATAAGATTTTCTGAACCTGATGGGTTACAGAAGCACACTAAGATGTGTGGACACACGGTGGCTCTCAGCTACCCATAACTCCAGTTTCAGTGATCCAACACCATCTTCTAACCTCTATAAACTCCAGGCACACATACAGTACACATGCATACACAGAGGCAAAACATTCACACACTAAGTTCAAAACAACATTGTTAATAAATAATTTCTTAAAAGATGAAAATGGTTTGAAACCAATATTCAAAAAAAAATCTCCCTTTATGTGGCTTCAGATTTACCATCACATGTTGGTAAATCTCATAAGAGCCGTCCATATTTGGTCTATGTCTCAGTGTTTTGGTCCTCTGGAGCTCTGTAGAGAAAGGTGATTCTAGCAGAGGACCATCTCAGCACCTCTGGTGCATCCTAGTGGTGATGTTTGAATTGAGTAGATCCTGATGAATGAAGTTTGCATTGAGTTGAATCTTGCTTTCCTGATTGTTATCACCATGACTGTCAAATAGACAGGCTCGAAAGTCATCTGGGACATAAAC